TCCTCCTAGACAATAAGTACCACTCTGCATGTCACTCACCCATTAACCTTGTCTCGCAAATCAGAGCGGGTACCTGGTGAAGTCAGCTCACCACTAGCTCCAAGGGGGGTCAGTTAGCTCAGTTGGCTGGACAGCAGGTTTACAACACAGAGTGATGCCAACAGGGAGTGTTCAATTCCAACAGCAGCTGTGGTCACCATGAAGGACTCTCCTTCTCAACCTCTCCCCTGACCACAGACAAGATGACCCACAGTTTAAACTACCACAAAATGTCTCTCTCTCTCTCTCTAATGACACAGCAGGCCTACAGTCCCTTGGGTCTATGGTGAGTTTACCTACACTTTAGTCCATAATTAGAAACACACAAAAAAAAACTGTTTTATATTATTTTGCGCGTTTACACTTACTTTTATTTTTTTTTTAATATGATGATATTACATTTACTTTCCTATTTCATTTTTGTTTTCTATTTTGTGTCTCAGTCCATTTACCTCAATGGTCTTGCTCATTGCTTTCCCCATCTGCAGGAACCTCAATGGAAGACTGAGAAACAGAAAACAGGCTCATTTTCATCATTCCACCCATCCCCATTATCTCTCAAAGCACAACAAATCTCTGTACATGATGACATCACCCCCAACAAGTCACAATGCTATCCAGTATTCACGGTCACCACCACTGGTCAGCCCTATTTAGGCTTCTGCGATACAATTTTACGCTGCTAAGCTATTCCTGATCAGATTTGTGTGCTTCGGTTGTGAATTTGTGGCATAATTTTGACCCAGTTGCTCTCACTGTGCCCTGTACCAGCAGTTAGACGTGAAGAGAACATGGTTTCTCAAAAAGAGGTTAATGTTACAACTTTAAATGGGATCTCATGATTCTGGTTCCAGCTGAGTGAACTACTTTGCAAATATATAACAGACTGAGCTGTAAATGGCCTGGATATTTTAGTCCCCTCTCATGGGGAGCTGAAAGTAGAGCTCACTGTTATTAATAGAATATGGGACAGTATCTAATGTGTCCCATTAATTGAATAACCCAGTGCCCCACATCTCTTAGATACAATTAGCAAACAATTCCAGCCACTCAATTATATCAAAAAGAGAGTTACAATTGTATAACGCCACATCACAGCACTTCGAAACAAGCTTTACAAAACAATGAATGGCTGTGAAGTTCACATTAACTATTGGTCCTAGAATTGCAATACTAAACGTTGTAAACCACATCCAGAGACTGTCAAACTTATACTGTATAATTTAAAAACTCCCCCTACCCTTGCTGTCCCAAATTGAGTTATAAATTATGTCATCGGGTTAGATTTCAGCAATAGATTGCAGGACAATAAGTTTCTGAAACCCTTGTCCACAACAAGATCAGCAGAACACAGAGTACATCCTTAACTTGGAGGGGGATAAATTAAAAACAAATCTGTCGAAACAATATTTCACTGAGTGTGTGGTTAATCTGAGGAACAGGCTCTCTAGGGAGATGGTAGAAGTAGTTATTATTGATTCATTCAAATGCAAATTAGACAAGACTTTTTTTTCCCAGAAAATAACATTTTGGGATGTAATTTGAAAAATTACATGGTGTAGTGTGCTTGGAATCAAAATGGTCACTTTGGACCTGGAGGGTGAAAAGTTCAGATCAGATAATACCATGAAAAACTGAACAGCATCCTCAGATTTCATGTCACACACCACCTTGAACAGGGTACCCCCGAAAGTGTCAAATGGCATCACACAACCCTACGAGCTAATTATGGTACCCGCTCTCTAAATTTGATCCATGTAGATCTGTTGAACAATTCACATGTTACTCACCAAAAAGTCACCTCTAACAGGGACACAGCACAAACATTATTATCTAACTGACAGGTCAAGTCATTTTGAAGAACTTGCACTGTTGCAAAATATACAGAAATAATTCATTTTTTTTGTTGGATGTGTTGTGAGTTCTTGGATTTGACAGGGGGTGTTTTTGCATCCTCAAAGGACTTGATGACTTCATAGACTAGAATCCTTACAGTGTGGAAGCAGACCATTCATCCAACCGAGTCCACACCGACCTTCTGAAAGGCATCTCTCTCAGACTCACCCCCAACACCCACACTATTCCTGTAACCTTGTATTTCCCAAGGCTAATCCACCTAGCCTGTACAACCCAGGGCACTACAGGCAATTTAGCACGACCAATCCACCTAACCTACACATCTTTGGACTGTGGGAGGAAATCAGAGCACCGGGAGGAAACCCACGCAGGCATGGGGAGAACTTGCAAGTTCCACACAGAGGTTGAAGTCGAATCTGGGTCCCTGGCCCTGTGAGGCAGCACTGCTAACCACACTTGTCCACACAAAGGATGCAGAAGGCTATGGGGGGAGTTGGGAAGGCACAGCAGCAGCACTTCAAGGTCTGCAGCATTAGAGATGAAGCAGAAGCTGTCAAGAGGACAACGGTCATCTGTATATTGCCCCATGGTAGCATACAACCATGAAAAGTCCTTCAACAATACCCTGTCCCAGATTATCCAAGGGCCCTGTAGCAAATTCAGAGTAAGTTATCAGAACCCAACTGTATTTCTTATTCATTCAAGGGATGTGGGCTTCATTGGCTGGGCAAGCACTTATTGATCGTTCTGAGTTGCCCTGGAGAATCTGGTGACAAGCTGCCTTCTTGTACCACTGAAGTCCATTGGGTGAAGATACACCCTCAGTACTATTAAGGAGGGAGTTCCAGGATTTGACTCAGTGACACTGAAGGAACAATGATATATTTCCACGAAACTGACACACAAACTGTATGTTACATCTGGCCTGGTTGCAGCCACTCGTGCGCAGTAACCCACCATACACTGATCCGAAGTCTATATTGGTCTTTTTTTTTCTTTATTCATTCACGGGATGAGGGCGTCACTGGCCAGGCAGCATTTATTGCCCATCCCTAATTGCCCAGAAGGCAGGTAAGACTCAACCACGTTGCTGTGGGTCTGGAATCACATGTAGTCCAGACCAGGTAAGCATAGTAGTTTTCTTCCCTAAAGGATATTAGTGAACCAGATGGGTTTTTCAGACAACTGAGAATGGATTCACAGTCATCATCAAATTCTTAATCCCAGATATTTATTGAATTCAAATTCCACCATCTGCCATTGCGGGATTCGAACCCGGATGCCCAGAACGTTGTCTGAGTCTCTGGATTAACGGACAAGTCATAATACCACTAGGCCACTGCCTTCCCATCTGGGTGTTACATGCAATGCCAATGCAAATGACCGTGTCTGTGTCAGAGCTGAGCTGATTCTATCACTCACTCCACTTCCAGACGCTCTTGTGGCTGGGCAGGTTGTTGTGCTTGGCTACCTGAAAGCAGGAAATCACAAAGTGGCTGATCGAGGTGAGGAACGGTAGTTTGTGGGTTGAAAAGTATGAGAAGCATGGTCACACCATCCTCAGCTTGCTCATCAAGCACAATAACAAGGTGAGCATGAGCTGGGTGTTGAGAACAGGCATAGAGCAGAGTGATACCATCACTCTCAATACTCTAGGTGAAGCTGGGAACGATGGGCTTGGTCACTGCTGGCCCTGCAATGCCGAAAGCCACCTCTTTGATAGTGCTGATGAAATACAGGTGCCCTTTCCTACATCAGTTCTGCCCTAGTTCCTTCCACTATATCCCATTATGTTCTGGAAGACTGAAGGAACAAAATCAGTAGTTCTGCTGCACTGTGTTTGTGTTTGTATGAGGTGCCTGCCATAGCTGGAGGAATATGTCAGTCATGAGAGATGAATGTAAATCTGATGAGTCTGTGTGTGTGCGTGCGTGTGGAACTGTTGGATGTTAAGTGTGAGCCTCAGAGTGCTGTTTGGTGGATGATGAGCTGTGGTACACTGAACACAGCTTAGTCAACAGTTGTGTTGGGGATGGCATGCAAGGCTGTATTCTCTGACTTTGACTGCCCAAGTGAGGTTATTTGACTTCTTGTGGCATCATTGCCAGGTCGTCCAGACGGCAAGAATTGGCCACCTGCTCTCATTCCTTGTTCAGGGATGTACTTCAAGGCTTTGTGGCTCCCTATAAAACCTCAGCATCTCCTCCTATTCATCTCCATCACCATTTCCACATTCCTGCATTTCCTTCTTTGACATGATGTTCATTTTCCCTTTATTGAGAATTGTAATAATGGCAGCCATCAGCAGCCCTGAGTAGTTCAGTGCAGCTTCCCTTTAGAGAGGAACAGATTATCTTGAAGATCAGAAGCTCCCTGTGCAAATGAAATCAGTGAATCCTGCTTATCCCCCATCTGCTGAGTGCCAATGCAGCTAACAGCACGGCAGAGCTCAGACCAACCCTACAATCTTCAATTATCATGGCAGCACCAGTCTACCTACCTCCACTGGGACCATTGCAGATAAGTAGCCAAACACTGCAGCCAAAAGAAAACACATACCAAATTTTAGCTCTCCTTGCTTATTGTACGGGCCTGTTCTAAACTCGGTGATAGAAACTGCTCGCTCAGATTAGTTGATTACTCCAGTTTTGTTTTGATGACGAGACCATTGGGACAGATGGACTATGCTTCGTTTATTTCTGTGTTGGTTTTTAGTAATATTCCTGAACTCCAGCTGTGAATTAAGGTGGAAAGATCTCAGAGTCCCCAAAGACAACTTGATTAGTGCTCTCCAATAAGAAAAATGCTGACTAGCTACTGATGTGGGTACAGTAACACAGGTTTAGCCAAAACCATTAACTTTGGTAGAAATTGCCTTATAAAGACTCTAAGTGTACAGCTTATTGTACTTTGTGTGTGTGTTAGTGCGAGAAAGAAAGAGAGAGAGATTTCATAAACATCACCATTCTGAAATTAAGTAAGTAAAGAGCTCACTACAATCATAAAACACTCACACAGTGATTTACCGTTGCGCCAACTGATACAAAATGGGTAAAGTTTACATGCATAAATCATCCAAGTTCCAGATCAAATAACCAACAATGTCCAATATATATTTTTATTTACCAAATGAAACACAGTTAACCACCTCTGGATTCTCAATTAGTCAGTGTTAAGTGCACTGGTCAACAATTAATCTGCAGAAGATTCAACATCAGCTTTACCGCCTCCACCCCTGACCCACATCCCTTTCATTCTTGCTCCATAACAATAACCAATGCACCAAAAAAAAACTCACAGTGGGGTGAGTCACCTTGAAAAGCATTGCTATAATAGGCTAATGGGTGACAGGGGTCATTTCAAATGTATCAGTTGGCTCTGTCTCATATTTAAATACTCATTCATGAATGAATCTCGCCGATGAAAGAATCTATATTCTAAAAGTTTAAGGAGAGTGGAGTACTGTATTTTGAGATGTATAGCTGGGACGTTTTAGAGTAAACTAAAAAAAAGTGCCCATGTATGTGTTATAAACCAGTTATGAACCGATTTGCATATCTCAGGAGAGTGCAAATTGCAAACAGACTCAACACTTGCAGCATCAGCATGTATAGATTGCAACAAAAAAAAAATCTTAAAACAACGTCTGATAGGCTGCAGCCAATACTAGATCTTATTCTACTTGTCTTTCAGGTTATAAAGTGAACCATCAAATGGCAAAAAACCAGTGCATGACTGTGCACCACAGAAGCACAATTTCAGGGCACTACTCTCTCCGTTGGGCCCTTCTTCAGTTGTAACTCTCTTCTCAAGATTGTTGAACTTTCCAGAGTAATCATACGTCAGCTCCTCACCAGATGCAATACTACAAGCTGCAAAAAGAGCCAACCTTGGGACCAGGGAGTTGACACGAACAGGGATCATGTACAGATTAGGATCACAAGAATGATTGAGGAATCGGCCAACATTGCCAATGTGGGTAGGGTCGATGTATGTTTCTAGTGTTTCTCCACTGGTCAGGTGTTCTCTCACAGCTATGATATAGTTCATGTCACCAGAACTTTGTGATTGAGTTCGCCTGTTGGCTTCTGGAAAACTGATGACTTCACCCCCATACTCACACACAAACTTCCCTCTCTTAATCGGTTCCAAAGTGCGAAGGCCCCATCCTTTCTTTGAGGATTTGTACACCTGCAGTTTAAAGGTGAGACCCCTCTGGACCACCCTGTTCTTACAAGCCTCACTGCATTTACACATAACGTTACACTCGAACACAGGCCTCGAGTAGCCCATCTCCCCCTGAAAGTCGACATGGCACAGGTTTTCATCATAAGCTCCAATGTAGCATTGTAGACAAGTGCATGTGTCCTGTTCACAGGAAGACGCTAGGCACTCACAACCTGGGAGGGTTATTTCAGTGGGATCAAGATCTGCTCCTGGTCCAGCCACATTTTCTGGTGTGTACTGCAAGACAAACACAAAACAGCCTTAGTGGAGATTTATGACAGACAGTACTGTGCTGTCTGTCTCCTTCAGAGGAATTGTACCTACTGCATACTAGTCAAGTCTGAACTTAGAAGAGTAAAGGGATTAAACTAAGTTAATTGACAAGTTCCTTTTCCATTAGAAAGATGTCAATGATAAGGTGGAATCCGTAAGTTGTTTGCTTTTAAGGCCCAGAAGCAAAAATAACAGTTTTGTACAAAGCTCTGCATGTTTAAGTGTTGCTTAAATGCATCCAGCCCTGTGCCAAGACTATATTCAGTAAGGTCTAGGAATTCAGCATCTAGGTACTAGAACAAAAGTCAGATAGCATGTGTTTTTAATAGAATTCTGGTCAAAGTATTACCCCTATTAGTCAGAACCTTTCTGCAAGGGGTATTTTCTGCACTAAGAAAAGACAGTACAACAATGTTTAAAAATAGGATTCCAAGAAAGTTCTGAACATCACCAAACACAAAAAGCTGATCAACAAAAACACAAAGTATCTCAGTGAACATCACTCATACTTCCTGACATAAGCAGCAAAGTTCACACCTTCACTCGAATGTAAAAGTTATAGCTGTGTGATCCAGGCAGCATTAAATTCCAGGTTCCTGAGATTTCATTACCCATTTCTAAATACGGATTCTATCATCTCTCAAGAAGGACTTAATAATCTTGGCCTTAATTAACTTATGTAAATATGGCTTTCAGATAAATGCCCTTCACTTGTCCCAGTTGGTCCCTGGGCTCCATACAATGCACTACATCTATTAAATGAAGCATGAAAAGGAGGCCAGGTATGTTAACTCCAGAGACCATGTCCCTTTCTTCGAAGAGGGAGAAACTGGGGAAAAAGAGGAAATGATGATGAGGATAAATCCAAATTTCAAAGCATACGTTTACATCACGAAAATATACTGAGCAATATAAACATTACTTTTAAAAGGGCATTATTGATCTGTACAGTAGATCGCAGAGGTTACATTTAAAAAAAACTGCACCCAAGTCTATCTAGTTTAAATAAATATTTAAAAGTTCACTCACATCTCTCACACTGCTGTTAAACCAAGAAGTTGTAGCAGAACTGTAACCAGCTTCTCAAGGGGTTGGTTTAAAATTCATCCTTCTGATTTTGGATATCACTGGCAAGCCCAGGGTTTACATTTTTAAAAAATTTATTATTGTCACATGTACCTAGATACAGTGAAAAGTTTTGTTTTGCGTGGAATACAGGCGGATCATACCATACAAAGTGCTTTCGGGTACTAGAATGGAGCGAAGAATACAATGTTACACCTGCCGCGAAGGTGCACAAAGAGCGAGGCCAATACTAAATTTAAAATTTGAATGGTCCATTCATAAGGCTAATAACAGCGAGGAAGAAGCTGTTCTTGAATCTGTTGGTACACGTGTTTGAACTTTTGTACCTTCTGCCTGACAGAAGAGGGTGGAGGAGCGTATAACCGGGTGGGAGGGGTCTTTGATGATGTTGGCTGCCTTCCCAAGGCAGCAAGAAGTATAGATGGAGTTACTGGCTGGAAGGTTGGCTTCAGTGATGGACTGGGCTGTGTTCACAACTCTTTGTAGCCTTTTTTTTTTTTTACGGTCCTGGGCAAGGTACTAAGCCGTGATGCACCCAAATACGACACTTTCTATTGCGCATCTATAAAAGTTGGTAAGAGTCTTTATGGACATGCTGAATTTCCTCAGCCTCCTGAGGAAGTAAAGGTATTGTGGTGCATCTTGAAGGCATCACAGTAATGGAATAGCTTTTCAGTCAACTTCAGAGGGCAGTTAAAAGTCCCAACTATGTTGGTGTGAGCCTGGAGTCACATGTATCTTAGAATCCCTACAGTGTGGTAACAGGAAATTCAGCCCAACAAGTCAACACCATCTCTGTGAAGAGCATCCCAACCAGACTCACTCCCTACCCTATTCCTGTAACTCTGCATTTCACATGGCTAACCCACTTAGCCTGCATATCCCTGGACAAAAGGGTAACTTATCATGGCCAATCCACCTAACCTGCACATCTTTGGACTATGGGAGGAAACCGGAGCAAACCCATGTAGACACAGGGAGAATATGCAAACTCCACACAGACAGTCCCCCAAGGCTGGAATTGAACCTGGGTCCCTGGCACTGTAAGGCAGTGGTGCTAACCACTGAGCCACCATGATGCCCCATATAGGACCGACTGTGCAAGGACAGCAGCTTTCCATACCCAAAGGACGTACCCCTCCCTTGATTGAAATTCTCGTGCTGCGATGGTAGGATTTAAACTCATCACCGGATTATTAAGTGACTAACATAACATTACAACCACACTACTCCAACTTCATTTCCAAAGCCTTAAAATAGCAGGAAGGTAAAATCTGGGATCTATGCTGTCACCAGGAAAGTACATGGGCTCTTAAGAGAAATATACAACATTCATTGAAGGAAATATGAGCCAAAATGAGTTGCACTCACCACTGCATTTATAAATGATGCAAAAACAAATTAATGTTATAATTAATGTAGGAATTAAAATAATGTATCAGAAACTATGACCATTGTAACACAATCCCAAAGTCTTTATCCAATATGCCAACTGGGTCTACAACTGCCCCCTTTACCCTTCCTGCCCCTTTATTCCACCCCCACCCCCCAGCCTCCAAAGCCACAAGCAAATCAAATAGATGCGCCAAATCTGGTGCACTGTCATGCTATAGAAGTCACGGCATGGAAGCTTGCTGTCAATTAACAACTCCATCCACACCCTCCACCTGACTCCCTTCTCTGCCATGTTCTACTGTCCCTCCCTCCCAACCCTTATATACTGAATTTCCCCCATCAGTTTTGTCATCCCAGCAATCTTCCTTCAATCCTCATGATTAAGTTCGCCGCACTCCCTCCCGCAGAACTGGCCACCCACCCCATAACACACGCACCCCCATTGAATTAACAGCCACCAGTCAGACCGTGACCCATTAACCCTTTGAATGACTTAGCCAGGCACCCCCAAACAATGAGCAGCTAGACCCCTGACTCGTGTCTGTACAGCTCCCTGACTGTGATCCCGTAAATCCCCCAAATGGTTGCACTGGCTCCAACGGGCTGACCACGACACCCTCTGGATGCCTGGAATGTATTTTCAGAATGGAACTTGCTGTACTTGACGTCAAAGAATGACCTCACTTGACTTATTACAGTCCACATCACTCAGGGCCTGGGGTTATTCCGCCCCAGCGTGACAGACGTAGAATTGTAGAGAACAGGAGGACAATCAGCCCATCATGTATGTGCCAGATCTTTGAAAGAGTTATCCATTTAGTCCTACATCCTCACTTTTTCCCCACCAAATATTTTTGTAGCGTGCCCATATTCTATTCCCTTTTGAAAGTTATGCCCAAATCCATTTAGACAGGTCAAACACAATTCCAATATGGAAGTGCTGGATTCTTACTGTTCTTTTAGAGTTACAATAAGGATGATAGAAGATAGCAAATATGCTCCAAACCAAACACATTGTTGGGGACTATCAAGTGCGAACAAAAGGATTGATCCTCAAAATATCACTCAGTATCCTACTTTTGTCCTTTAGAGTTCCACTAAATAATCAAGAATCTGATTGGTGACATAAAAATATATTGGATTCAGTGGTTAACCACAAAGAACAAGAATGAATAATTTTGTTGATGGTGAATGTTTAAATGATTATCGTGTAAGGTATTATCCAGAGAATGCAAGTCTGACTTGTTCATGTAGCCAGTCTGTCTGCTGTGTGTCCATGTGCAGTACTCCTACAGCATTATTGGGTAGGGAGCCCCAAGATTTTGCAACAGCACTGATGAATTATCCTGACCAATATCTTGTGCCTCAGCTAGAACACAAAGACAGATGATCAGACCCACTATTACATTGTTGTTTGTGAGATCTTGTGTGCTGTCGTATTTCCTATATCATGTCAGAAGTACTTCCTTGGTTATAAAACACTTTGGGATGTCCTGACTTCATGAAAGATGATTTACAGTTACAAGTCCTGTTTCTGTTGCATGCCCGAGTTTAACAGTTGCTGCAAGCTGCTTTATGATAGATGGAGCATTTGGCTAAGGAAGAGAGCAGAAATCTTCACACAAGGACTGACCTGGAATCGAACACTTCTCCTGTCTCAATTCTTGGAAGAAAAATGCAATTCAGTGTCAATGAACTGAAGCCAGCTGGTTTATATTCACTCCCTTGACTCACTCTGCAATCCTTTCATAGTTTCCACATTTAATTTTCTGTCTTCCACATTTTTTTCATTACTACCTCTGCTTGCACTATCTGGTTGTTACTGTGTTTTGTTTTAGGGATTAAAGTCTCTGTGTTATTCTGTCCTCAAGCAGCCAGCTCCATGCCCTGTGGTCAGATAAGCTGACGTCACTAATGCTGCTGTCTGGCTCCAAAAGGATGCTGCAAGTGGTCGATTGACAGTTTAAATACTGTACTTGAAATGCTATGTGGTTGCCAACGTAAGTGTGGTTTGTGACTTCAGTTACCATCTATGAAATGACCTGCAAGTTGCCTGAAGGGATGGTCAATTAGCATCAAAACCCAGTGAGTCCACAAGAAATTCAGGACACGAAGACTAAAGCTCTCCAGATTTTAAAGACGTTACAGCGCAGGAGGCCATTTGGTCCATCACCCTGTGCTGGTTCTTTGAAAACCTAACTGATAGAAGCTTACAATATTGGAGGCAATGTATTAGGAGGTAATTGATTGAAGATTGGTTAACACACAGAATAGAGATTCAGAATTAATGGGTCTCTTCCAGGTTAATGGAGTCCCACAAGAATCAACCTTAAATTATCGACTTGAAGGAAAGGGTAAAGTAAAACATACCAGATTTGCTGACATCACAAAAGTAGTGAGAGGGCATGTTGTGACAAAGACATAAAGAAACTGCAAGGGGATGTGGATAGGTTGAGTGAGTGGGCAAAAACTTGGCAGATGGA